CCTGCAAGTTGCAAGTTAACTCACCACAAGGTGGTATTCTTGTGGAGCTTTTATTTTTTATTTTTAATTTTTTTACTAAAGCATAGATATCTTCCTATTGAAGGTACCGTCAGGCACTAAATGTGGGTGCTTTTTCCAACAAGAATTTAAATATTGATTCGTCATATTGTGAAGAACTAGTTATTTCTATTAGACGCAATTCTTATTGGTTTTGTGGAGCTTTTAAATTGATTTGAATGTAGAAAAAATGCCATGGGCTCGAGCGAAGTGGGTGTGGACTAAATAGTCCTACTCTAAAAGGAGGCAGCCTTTTACCAACCTAAACCTGTTTTTTTTATTAGGCTGGCGTGTATCCAACCCATATGACTAGCTCAAATTACTAGTGGCCCGTTCATAATAAAATTCGAAGATAGATCAATAACCATTAAACATCAACTGCAACCATGTTGTTCTCCAAAAAGGGCTCTCCTTGTTCCAAAAAAAAAAAAAAGGAGGGCTCTCCCTAACCATCAATTCAATAAAGTGATATTTCACAAATTCACTTAGAGTTTCCAAATGAAATAAATCAAATATCAAACTCCGAATGAAAATAACCTAACAATTCAGAGTTTTAGGTTAAGACCTAAAAACAACGAAATCAACAGAAAATAAGAAACTAGAGCTAGTGCTTGAATCTCATAACACCGAAATAAATTAAATAAACATCTCTTAGAGTCATGGTGATTGAGTTCTATTTTATATATTATTTTATATCATATTTAAGGGTTTTTAGCATGATTATTGGGTTTTATTGCATATTTTATGAATACTCTGAGTCTTAGAGTGTTGCATGGAAATTATGCTTAAAATGATGTTTTTGTCATTAAAATTACAATTACTCTTTAGTTGGTTTAATTTCTTGTACCTATGGTGCTACCTAGACTTGAATTGCATTGTAGGCACCTTAAAATATGAAAATTCAAAGTGTAAAGGCCTAAGAAAGGGACCACACGAGCCTAGAATTTCAAAACCCATTTACTGTGTTGTCTGCCGCGACGAATTTAACGTAAATATAATGTCACTGTACGTTTTTGAGTTGAAGTTCCGTCCTGGTTGGGTCCTCTACCCATTTTTGGCTTAAACCTGGGGAAGCTTCCTAACACCTTTAGGATTTGAGGCCCTAGCTAGCATCATTCTACCATTCCATCGTGTTTCATCCTAATTGGTTCCATGATTCGAGTGCCTTGGCATATACCAAACCTTATTCAATTCGGAGTTCACTAACATGGGGTTGGCTAGAGTCCTTCTTTAAATGAGTACATTGACGTGTGTTAAGTTGCTTAATATTTATTGGCGTTGGTTAACTATTTCACTAACTAGAACTCCAATTGTACTCCGAATTTCCCTATTGAATTGAACCAATACATTGTCACTAATTTCCTACCTCAAGAGAGTCCATCATCATTGTGTTGTCATCACTTTTAGTTTTTCACTCGCTTTAATCCAAGATCCCCAAAAGACGTAGTTTTTATTGCACTAAAATCATGTTTACAAAAAAAAAAAAAGGACTCTTCTCAATATCATTTTCCCATGCATTTTTCTTGTTAATTTTCAAATAACGCTCCTTAAGTGAAACAATTTGGATTTGTGTCACTCTAGTACATCGCTAAGTAGTTTGTGATCTTAACATTCAAGGCGACTAAAAACAGGGTCAAAACACGTGGTCAAACTTAAATATAAAAAACACTACATGTGCTTGAGAAGCACAACCAAGTCTTAATTTTTTTAAAAAAATTGATTTCCGTTATACTCCATTTGGTTCTTATTATAAGTTTGAAATATAACAAAAAAATCAATTAAAATTAGATCCAAACAATAAATAGGTTAGAAATATGCATTTTTTTTAAATATAACTTTATAATAAATGAGAAAAAAAGGATGAAAGGGGCATATGAGGAATGCGATGAGAGTGAGAGTATGTCGACTGAAAAAGAATAAATAATTCAGAAAAAATTGAAAAATGCATTAAATGTCAAAACAAACCTAATTTGAAAGTTATAAAAAAAAATCACACATTTTCTTAAATTTAAAGCTTATAAATAGGACTTGTAAGATCAGAGTATATGAAGTGACATATAATGACATAGTAGCACATAAATGAGGATTAACCATATAGTAGCACACACATGAATCTTACAGTGTCCTCATGGCTTATTCCTTTGGTGCCTTCCTCTAATTTCTACTTAGTCCTTCACTTAAAGTTGGTAAAATAGAGGTAAGATCTAGTATCCTAGTAAGTACTGACATTTTTTAACACACAAAAAAAAACACAAAACAAGTTAAATCTAATTATCATTAAATGTACACATATTCGTAGATTTTTATACCACTACATTGTTCTCAAACTCAACATCATGCAAATGAGGGAACCTCTATCCCTCACTGCCACTCGTACCAAGATGAGTGGATATCAATGCGAGTTTACTTTAAACTCTATGTGAGATATGGCCCCAATCTAATCTAATATAATCTATATGTCTAAATACAATATAAAAAAACTTTGTCTCAAATATAAGACAACTATACCTACTTCACATAAACTAATAGAATTAGTTAAAATTAATTCTACTGACAAATTTGCAGCAAAACATTTTTTTTTAATATTTTCCCTTAATGGCTAGCATTGTTCCTTTATAGATCCTAAATTTTTAAGAGGTTAATATGTATCTAGCATCCTTAAATATTTTTCTAGTATGTCTAGCACTCTAAAATATTTTGTGGTACATCCACCATTTTGAAGTTTTTTTTAAATGCGTCCAGTACTTTGAAATATTTTTTAGAACATCTAATATCCTAAAATATTTATTTTAGATGCATTCAGCACCTAAAAATATTTCTTACTGCATCTAACACTAAGGCAAAAAAATATTTTAGGATGTTGGATGTACCTTAATTCATTTGTGTGCATATCATGATTGATGAGAAGTATTTTTTTAAAAAATATTTAATAAAAAGACCCAACAAGCATGTTATATTTATTTGATTTTGTTAAAAAAAGTATGTTATATTTGAGATAAAATGATTTTTTTTTTATCGTTAGTGGCAAGTCATCTCTTATGAAACATGTTAACACTAAACATTTTATGATTTTTTTATGATCCTATTTTTTTTAATGATTCCCTTATTTTGCTGAACCAAAGTTCCAATTATATACAATAATGGCATTGAAGCAACTATAATTTAGTATTAGACGTGCAATTCCTTCTGTTATGCTCGGATAATATTTCAGGTAATCGTGTGGGTACAAGGGTTTAAATTGTATAAAATACCCCAAAAAAAAAAATCATGCTTCTCATCAGTCATCACGGGTCAAATGGGTGGGACCCATACTGAAAATGATAAAAGTTTAAAGGTGAAAATAAAAAAAATTGGCAAGCGGTTAAAAGGACAAACTAACTGATATTCACCTGTCAGGGAAGTGAGGAAGAGGAGTTTGTGGGAAGTTTAAATGCGTGACGGCGAGAAATGAGGCAGAGAGAGGGAAGAGAAAATGAAAAGGCGAGGCAGACAAAAAAGGCCTCACTTAGACCACGTAAGCCCAATGACCCAACCAGCCTGTAACCACACCCACCCATACTCCAAATTGAGGCACATAACCCTCCACCACTTCCCTTTTTCCCCTTCTCCCTCTAATTATTTAATGTCTTCATTTATTTCTTCTCTCCCTTTCCTTTATTATCAAATCACCATTCCATCCATCTATCTTACTGCTTTCTTCTTCAAAAAAAAAATCTCTTTTCTTTTTTCGGCCTAAATACTTCTCTAACCCTTATTATAAGAGTTAGTTAGGAGGATAACCTTGATCCTGAATACAAAACTTCTATTGATTTCATCTATAATATTTTTTTTATTCTTTTTCTCAAACTAATTTACTTGCTAATATACAAGTTAATTACATATAAGGATATTTTTGAAAGATCATGTCATATTGATTAAAATTACGTAATTTATTTAGCTTCCTCATTTTACCAAATTAGTTACAAAGCTCTTACATTAAAGATTAGAGGAGTACTAAATTAAAAAAAAGATAAGAGGAGTATTATTTATTCTATAATCTTTTGGTGGGGTTATATTTAGTTGTGCTTATGTTTAAAGGTATGGGTACCAATTTTACCGTTGATGTGAAGGTTTCAAAAAACTAAATTTAATGTAAAAAGAGTATGGGTTTGAATTCTACCTTTGATGTGAGGGTTTCAATTGTTATGAGTAGTCTACAAAATATTTCTCTGGAGGCTCTTGGAGTCTTTTGACACGTTTAACCTTACTCCATAACTCAACTTATCTAACCTTTTTGTTTTAAAAAATAAATTTGTTTAATTCATCCATAAAATGTAGAGTAAAAAGAACATCTATCGCTACAAATTATCAGTTTCATGGTATTGTTAACCAATAATGCAAATTTTCAAATAGGTTGAGCTTGAATTGAAAGGAGACTCTCCCAACATCATTCTAGTCACAAGGTTGAAATACTATTAGATAAGAGTTATTAAGTCCCTCATCACTCATTAGATTGATTCAAACCTATTTTTAGTAATTAGAACAATTCCCATGTTTTGTAAGTCAAGTATTCAAATTGTTGTAGTAAAAGTAGTCGTTCGATTGTTTACTTTTTGTAAAATAATAATGCACTGATTGATGTAATACTGAACAAGAGTTGAAGGAGGAAAAGTCGTAGAGAGCCACGTATAAACCTTCAATATAATATTAATGTCAGAAATTAATTTATTTTAATTGGTGAAATTCCATTCATCACCTTATCAATAAGAATCTAGCTTTATGCGGGGGCTTATGTGGATGGATAAGCCTGGGACACCTGAGCCAGCAATTGACTGTACAGAGACAAATGAATAAGGGTATTATCGGAATATCAAATTAAACTGGATCAGAGTCGTCATCTTGCGTTCCATAAGTCTATAAGATGGAAAACACAGAATCCTGTTAAATTTGGAGAATAAAACTTTCGCAGTTTATGCTCATAAATCGAAGGAAAAAGCTTCGACTTAAAAACTTAATGGGGGCCCTTCATTGGTTGGAAAGCATAAAACTTGCAAGTTCTGCATCGGGGCTCGATCATTTTGAATGGGAAATGAAAAACTTCTCGTCGGAATTTCAACTTCCTAACCTTGAAAATCCCCCCTCACAACCAGAAGGAGGAGGCGGAGGAAGAAGAAGGAAAGATAGCAAACGGGGGAATTCAGAAGCAGAAGAACAAGAAGAAGAGGTAGCAAGGTGCGAATGGAATTTCAGCCTCGCCACCGTAGTTTCCTCCAGGTCCGCCGGCACCGTTTCCGACACAATAGGATCCATAGAAATCGACCCCACCGATAGGTTGGTCGCCACCGGAGGGATCGCCAGAAAAATAAGAATTTATAGCTTGAATAAACTTCTGCCAAACACAGCCTCACATGACGTGCGTTATCTGGACCACAGTGGCGCGTGCGATTATTTCATCTGCGCCCCAGCGAAGCTAAGCAGTCTACGATGGAGACCCGGGTCGGGTGGCCGGGTCATTGGATGCGGAGACTACGACGGTGTGGTCACGGAGTACGACCTGGAGGGGAAGATCCCAGTTTTCGAGCGAGACGAGCACGGCGGCCGGCGAGTCTGGAGCGTGGACTACTCATATTCAGACCCAGTTCTTGGGGCATCCGGGGCGGATGACGGAACCATGCAAATGTGGGATCCACGTCACCAAAACGACGTCGCGGTGGTGACGCCGCCAGGCAAGCGGTCAGTTTGCAGCGTTGAGTTCAATCCATTCAACCATTCAATGGTGGCGATGGGATGCGCCGACCACAAGGCATACGCTTACGATATCCGGAAAATGTCGGATCCAGTGATGATATTGGAAGGTCACAGAAGGACGGTGAGCTACGTTCGGTTTCTAGATTCACACACGTTGGTATCCGCCGGAACGGACGGGTGTCTGAAGATGTGGGACATAAAGGAGTCACGCGTGATTCGAACATACAGAGGGCACATAAACAGCCGGAGCTTCGTGGGGCTATCGGTGCAGCAGAGTAGCGGCGGCGGGGGGTTGCTGGGATGCGGGTCGGAGAAGAATGAGGTGGTGGTGTATGATACGAGGTGGGGCCAGCCGATATGGGCGAGAGCGTTTGGGACGAGAGAGAGGGTGCAGGAGGCAGGGGCGTTTGTGAGCAGTGTGCATTGGAGGCACGCCGGCGCCGGCGGAGAGGAGAATGATTGCACACTTCTCAGCGGCGGGTCCGACGGCGTCCTCCAGATTTTTGTGGGGAGAAGGACCACCATGGCCACAAATGTTTGTTAATTTGTTCGTTAGTTAGTTATTTACTAATCAATTCAACTTTCATGATCTTTCACAAGCTTGTTCTCTTCTTTCTATTTGCTTGTCTCGTTCTCTATTCCTTCGCATGCGCGTTGTGTCAATTCGCAATTCTTATTGCGTCCTAAAGCGTAGGATGCAACTTCAGTTTCACCACTCAAGTTGTGATTTTCCCTCTTCTTATTCTCCCTCTTATTTTTTTCAATTTCAAGAAAATTAGATGAACCATGTTATGAGATTTATTAATATGGTATTAAAATTCAATTTGGATTGGCCGATCAAACCAAGAAACTGGTGAATTAGTTTCCTGAGCATAGGAGTTTTGAATGGGTTAATGGTATTAAAATTTATATTTTTTTTCCTCCTTACTGAACTTGAAACAACATGATTTTAAGTTAAAACAAAAAAAAAAGTTATAAATCTTTTATATTTCAATTAAATTATATTATTTTTTGAATAAAATAAAATAATATTATTTTAATAATCACATATTTGATTTCAAATTGATCTTGATTTGAATGACCATCTCAATCCAACACTAATTTGCTTGTGAAGATTAAACAACTATATTTTACCTAATCATAAAAGCCATGGCTTCCATGTCTTTGTAGGGTGGCAACTCCTTGGATACATCGATCATTCAAGTCGTGAGTCCAAAAAAAAAACAAAAACAAAACTCAAATGGTGCTTCTTTTTTCTTAAAACCTTGTTTGGGTAAGTGATCATTTTCCTTTTACCACCTTGAGAAAGTTGTCATGTTATATTAAAAATACTTAATTTTATGTGAGCAAAGTTATGTATAGCAGGAAGATTTGTACCTTATTGCTCATATATCATCTCATTGTACAAGTTCATTCATGTTGATTACTTAAACTTTTCTTTTTTGATAAAAAATTATTTAAAATAAAAAAATTGTTATCACCACTCGTAAATAAATACTCCTCCGGTCCTTAATATAAGACTCATTTAACTAATTTGATTATATTAAGGAAGTTAGATAAGTTAGTTAATTATAAGAAATGTGACATGTTTTTCCTAAAATACCATAATCATCTTTCTTAATATCTCATCTCCCTCTTCTACTTGATTATGGTTAAGAGAGTATCCATAAAGGTACTTTAGAGAAAATTGATAAATATAATAAATGGATCTTATATTTAGGATCAAAACCAACTCAATAATTGGGTCCTATATTAAGGATCGGAAGAGTATAATCTTACTTCGGCTTCTTACTGATAAAGAAATGTCAAAAATGCGTGTGTGTCACAGAGAGAGAGAGAGAGAGAGAGAGAGAGTAGTGTGTGTAGGTATAGAGTATGAACATTGAACAGAGACCCACAATGGGATGATTGAAGCGGAGGAGGCCATACGTATATATGTATCTACATTTAAGTTTGATTAAAACAGAAGGCGCATGCTTTTCAAATTCGTTGAATTATGAAAATTGCAAGGAAATATATATTGCAATAAATTCCCTTCTCCATTTATTCATCTCTCTCACTTGAACTTATGTAAATCTTCTTTTCTGGGTGATTGGAATATTTGTACCAATTTTTTTTATAAAAAAAAACATGTCAATCTTCATAATTGAACTGTTACTCTTGCTTAGTCTCTTGTAATTTTAATTTCTCATATCTTTGATAATTTTCAAATCACACTCACTCAAGAAGACTTGGGGTGTTTGGAAACCCTCGTAACTAAAGAAATTGCTTCCACACAATCCGAGACAAAACTCCTACCAATTATTTATCCCGCACTCAACAAAATCATTTGTAACAAGCTAATATAAACACCCTTTAATATGAATTTCGAGAAATTGATTGGTTTGATTTGGGGAAAAAAAAAACAAAGAAAAATTACACTATTGTTTTAGCCGATGCCATAATGTTGGTTGATTTAACAGACTACGCGCCAACTCATTTCCATACATACACACGCATATATAATATGGGGCCTCATAATATTCTGCTTTGGATATTTATTATAATTGTGGTTTCTATTACTATATTAGGTCATTATGCATGAATGATGTAATAGCTGATTAAGTTAAAGTGATTTGCGCTCTGACTTTATTAACTAGTTTGCCTCTTAATTAATTTATTAGTACTAGTAGATATTTTAATTTTTTAAAAAGAAAATCTAAACACGTGTAATTATAATTTATTAATGTTTTAATTTGTTTCCAATTGTTAGTTTGCATCTGTATTGTTTATGGGTATAATAGTGATACCCATTCTTCAGAACATTAGTATGGTATAATTAGCAAACATTTTCAAGACATTGATCGCCAAGAGCGAATTTGATTAATTATCATAATTGTCATTGAATCACATAAGCATTGTTGCATACAAAAAGATTTTCTAAATAATCTCCTTATCCACTCTAAATTACGTGGCACCTTGAAAAGTGACGTCAATCCATTATTCCTATCATTTTCTAATCACTCACTCTGCAAAACTGCTGCTTTATTACATGCCCGCTCCCTGGATTTCTGGAGAGTTCGATCCTGGCTTAGGAGGGATGTTGGGGACATGCTTAACACATGCAAATTAAATGGGAACTGGTGCTTTTAGCGGCGGATGAATGAGTAACACGTAAGAACCCGTAATTAGGAGGGGAAACAACACCTAGAAACAACTGCTATTACCGTTATAGGCTGAGGAGTAAAAGGATATAAGTGTACAAGTTTATCTCTTTTTAATGATTGATCTGTTGACCAAAAAAAAAAAGATGATATGTATTTTTAATCTTTTAAATACGATATACAATGTATTTAATTTCATCCTTTAAATGGGCAAATTATATATCATGTGAGTTTAAATGGGCCATTACGTGAATTATCAAAGGGTTTGAAACTTTTATTGGACTTAATGTTAAGATTCTGTTAAAGTGTTAGATAACATTTTTAATTTTCACAAGAAGTCATATGAGAGATTAGAGAGTTTGTCATGTATGATTGGAAGATATTCTAAGACTTATAAAGTACCAATATTTCAAATTGCTTGGCATATCCACATCGGTATCGAAACTGATAATAATCAGCACTGATCCTTCTTTTAACGTAATATTATTTTTGTAATTAATTTTTTCCAATTTTGGTACATATGCAATGCTTCTAGATTTCAAGTTCTTTTAAGAATTGAAATTTTATTCAAGAGTGTGATATTAATTTTTCATTCCTAATATCCTTTTATTATTTGATTTTAAAATAAATTATTTGTTTTTCTTAAAAAAATAATTTCCTTATTTTTCATAAATAAATATTTTAAATAGAAGGGATGGATGGGAAGGGGAGGTCTCAAATCAATGTATGACATACACCAATAAGGTTTCAATTTATTTGTCTCAGTAAATCTACTTAAGGCTGTTTGGCAAACTAAGAAAAAACACTTTTGAGTATCAAACCATAGTTTGATCTAAAAACCATTCACACACCACATATTTTGTGAAAACCAATGTTTAACCCAAAACCATAGTTTTAGACTATGAAACCAGAGTTTTAAAAGAAGCCAAAAAATTTCACTTTTGGATAGATATTGAAGAGCTGTAGGCATTGAAAGACGTGTAAGTTTGCATTAAATTAGTCTCTTTTCTTGTCTTTACTCTTTACAACCCGAACAAAACTTACCCAGATATTTTCATATTTTCCTATTATGTTTAATAAAATGGATAACAAATTTATGACTTCAGCTGTAAATTTAATCAAATTATTTATGTTTAATATTTTCATCATATGATTATTAGAAAAAAAATATTAGGAAAATTCATAAACATATAATAAGAGTATTATTTTTTAAAAATATATTTAATCATATATTTTATATACATGCTAATAATTAATTAATTATATAACTAATAAATTGCTTTTACATATGTTTATTCAATTTTAAAAAAAATATATGAAATTTCATGTTTAAAATATTTAAGGTAAAATAATTATTTTTCTAAAAACATATTTAATCTTATATTTTATAAATATATATACACATATTAATTATTAATTATTTATATTTTTGTTATATTATTCATTATGTTGGCAAAAAAACTATTATTAACAAATTTTTTATTTCACATAAAAATATAAATTAAAGTATATTCTTTATGTATTTATCATATTAACTTATATCTTTTTAGTAATTTGTATATTAAAAAAGTAATTCTGATAACAATAATTCAAACACTCTCATTTTATCAAAATTATTTTTGTTACAAAATCTATCCTTCCAAAATGTATTCTCAAAATAATTTTTTTAAAAAAAGTTATTTTTTAAACCATGGTTTGGTTTTATCCAAATGTCTTTTTATACTCACTAAAAAACTGAAGAAGCAGAGGTCAATATGGGAAGAAGCAGCGAAAGAGAAAGAAAACTGTGAAGATTATTTTTCTTTCCTAAAAAAAAAAAAAAACTCATTTTTGAAGGGAGTTGAGGGCAAGAAAAGACAAAAATGTACGCCTACCCCCTCCGTCTAGCCATTTTCTCTAACCAAACACACTCACGTCTTCCCCTCCCCTTCCCTCAAACAACCCAACCGAACAATACTTTAGGTTGTAAATTAGTTTATGGACGTTTTGTTTTATTTTGGTATCTTCTATTAAATGAAAAATTAATGTTGAAAACAAAAAAGATTAGATTTCTAATTAAAAAAATAGTTTTAGATATAATATGAAAATAAATATTATATATATTTTTAGGAAAAATTACAATCAAGTTCTAAGGAAGAGAAATAATTACTAAAAAAAAATCTAAATAACACCTAAGTAGCTTATAATAATAAGTTTTAGAGTGAAAAATGACAATATTTGAAACTTATTTTGTAATTTTTTTTCTTTCTTAAAACCTTCTTGTAAATCTCTTTTTTTTTATTTTTAATTGATGATGGTTGACGAAGAGAAGAGATTGATATTATACTCATTTAGCAGGCACTAGGCAATAGCGTCGCTAAAAAAGACCATGCAAGTAAGTTGGTTTGTATTTTTCTGGAATTGTAATTATATTTTATATATATATATGTTTCATTAACACATGATATTTTAGATTTCCTAAAAATAAAAGCCTCGACGTATGGGATGCATATCCAATTTGACGAATTATCAATTTCTTCTTAATTGTAATTTGGGAAGTCTAATCCATGGGACATGACGTGGCCCATCCTAAATTGCAAGGCCATTGCCAATGTCATACCCGACCCTTAGAAATGTTATAAACGTGATTTCAAAAAGCCTTATAAATATTTTTTGATTAAGATTCATTCAACATTTCAATTTTTTTTTAAATGTATTCAGCCCCTAAGTATTTTATAATATGTTCAGCATCCTGAAATATTTTTTAGATACGTCCAACAATCTGAAATATTTTTTTTGTCTTGGTATTAGATACATCAAAAAATATTTTTTGGTGCTAAATATATTTAAAAAAATATTTTGAGATACTGAATGTAAAAATAAAATAGTTTACAATACTTGATGTATCTAAAAAAATATTTTAGAATATTAAATGTATGACAAAATATCTTAAGATACTGTATACATTTGAGAAAATAGTTGCCCAATATTTTTCAACCGCTACAAATAATGCGTTCATGCATGTGAGCTTTGACAATCACGAGTTTCTCATTAAAAAAATAAAATCGAGGGTGTTTTTTTTTTCTTTGTGGTGATAAAAGAGCTTTTAGGCCTGACTCTAAAAGTTCACCTTCAACAAAAGTTGACGTTAGAGTTTTCCCGATAAAAAAATAAACGACAAAAACCTCTGAATAATTATTTATTAATTTGCCAACACAATTACAATTGGACAATCACGCACACAACGAACCACATCAGACGACTATCATCCACTCATTCGAGATTAGTGTGACGAGAGCGGACAGCTTCCGGAGTCTCACCCAAGGTTTCACCCAACTTGTATACTACCATCTCAAACAACACAAACAAAGCCCCTTCATACACACTCCCCATCGGAAGCAACGGTCGAGATTTCGCTTCACCTTCGTCCTTATCATCGGCCATCGTCTGTGCCGCCACGTAGGCCACCACGTTCGCGTGCTTCACGCACGACCCAGTCTCCGGCTGGGCCGTCAGCAACAACACTCTTCCGCCGTAGGATCGCGCGACGGAGCAGATGGCGTCGACGGTGGAGAAGCCGCCAGGACCGGCGGAGGCGATGAGGAGGTCACCAGAGGTTATGGGAGGCGTGGTCATGTCGAAGACGAAGTGAGTGGAGAGGCCGAGATGGGCGAGGCGCATGCAGAGAGCTTTGAGCATGAGGCCCTCACGGCCAACGCCGTAGAGGAAAACAGTGCCGTTTCGAGCAGCGGCGGCGGCGAGCTCGCTGACCAGTAGGTCCAAGGGTGGTGAGTAGGGTTTGGTGGGCCTGGAGAATATGGAGGCTATGTGGTTGCAGATTTGTGAGGCTAAGGACGAGGCTCCTTCTTCAGAATGGGAAGCCATTCTCGCTCCTTCACTGTCTAATTTGATTCTTGAGGTCAAAATTGTTCTTTTATTTATACACCGGTGACGGATATTTTGATATTTTCTTCAATTAGGCCAGTTAGGTCATTTTGCCTAAAATTGGTGGTACATATATGTCATTTTATCCCCGTTTTGTGGGCCAAACTGTGCAGGGATTACTATTAGAATTGATGTGACTGGAGCTACATGCGTATGTTTGGGCCTCGGCCTAATAGTAAGAGTTGAACTAATTAAAAAAAAGTCAATCCTTTTCGCGGTCGAATGGGAAGTGTCATGCTATTATTGCTTCATATTTCATATGGCAAAGGCATATTCGATTTCTATATTCATTATTCATTTTATTTGAATTTTTCATTTCTTTAATATATTAATATAATTAATTTTTCAATATATTAATAGAAATATCAATATATTTAGATATTGTATATTGATTTTATTTAAAAAAAATTGGTCAATTGGAGGATTTCCCACGAGAAAATGATTGTTGATATGATGATTTTGTCTGTGAGCAATCTATAAATATCTTTATACTTCCCAATTGACCCAAAAAAAAAAAAAGCAGCTAACTCTTCGTAATTATTGCTGAAAAAGATTCATATTTGGTGCTCGACGGAAACTTGAACGGGTAACCAATCGTCCGGTTTTGCTGCGACTTCTCGTCTCAGTTGTTCATATTTGTCAGGTTATCATTTCTGTTCTCACTTCGGATGCTCTCCGTACGGTTTCATGTTGCTGCTGTAATGATTTATTTACTGTTTTTACGCTAAGGGAGATTGGGTTTTGAAGTAATTCAGAGTTGCGTATTGGAGGGGTTATTGGTTTCACTCCGGCAAGTTTTTCAATTTGACGTGAAAATAATCGAGAACTGGCTAGAGATTGTGTAAGTCTTGCTTTCGGAATTTCGGCAACAGGCTCCAATTGGGTAATAAGTCTGCTTTGATCCACCTCTCATAAACGCAGGTTCCAATTAGTGTTTGATAAAAGGGACAATTTCACTTAACTCCCATTGATGAGCCTTTATTAAAAATAAGCCCCAAAATATTCTAAAATGTCGTTAGGATCTTTTAGGTCTAAAATAAAATTAAATTAAAAAGCAAAAAGACATGTTGCCCTTACAAGGAGGATACAAATTTTAACAACAAAGAATTAAAAAAAAAACTTAACAAGCAAAACTTTACAACTCAATTTACATGTGTTCAAATAAGTTGCATAAGAGAATGCAAATTTTGACAACAAAAATCAGAAAAATAACAACTCTCCCTATGAAACTTTACAAGTAAAAAAATCACATGTGAACATTTACGCCAAAAAAAAAAACTCAAACATGAAAATTTACCGCAAAGAATAATAAAATAATAACTATACATATAGAAATTTACAATCCAATTTAAAAGCGGTCAAGTAAGCTATAAGTGGAAGTATAAATTTTAACAACAAAAGGTACAAAAATAACAACTTTAGATATGAGAATTTACAACTCAATTTACTAATGCTCAGGTAAGGGTATTTCTGCAACAAAAAAAAAAATTTCTCAATTTAATTTCATTATGAGACAAAGAGACTGATTTGAAACTTTAGAATTTTTTATGACCTTTTGTTTAAGAAGTCCATATTGTGGGAATTAACTGAAAGTTTCCCTTGATAAAATGCTTGAGTAGGATCAAGATGCAAGACTATTCTTCCTGTTTGACCCAATATAGTTGGTACCACGTGTGGTGATGAAACCGGTGACATATTGTTGTTTTGTGCCAATTCCCATATTAATTTCAGGTAATTAAGTGAGAATGGTGCTGTCAAAGACAGCAGCAGCAAGGTGCTCTAATTATGCATTTCTGTTCATTGTGAATTGTTTATTCAATACCCTTATGGCCTATTTGGTTAAAATTGGCCCAAAAAACGGAAAATCTAAATTTTTCAGTGGCGGCGGTAGTTTGGTTCAAAGAAGAGGTGAGAAAGGAATGTAATGCGGATGCTCATTTTCCTTTAAAAAGCAACAAATTTTCAGTCGCTCGTGACAATGGACTTTTGACCATTTGCCCCTAAAAAGTATCCTTGAAAAAATGAGAGTGGAGCTCGCCAAAGACCATAGCGTTGTGTGTGGAGAAGTCTGAGGAAGATGAATACTGTTGTGTAAGTGTGTAGAGAAGGAGCTAACTTCAACTGTAGAATCTAGAATTCCAGAAGGTATGCTCTGCTCAGACTTGTTTTGGTCAAATTTGAGGATTCTTAAACTCACAAAGGAGTTATAGCTTCAGGAGTTTCCCCAGAAAAATGGTTGCCAATGTTGCTGGCAAGTGAACCTAATATTTGATTGGAGGTGAGGTTGAGAATCTTCAAAGAGCCTAAACTCATGTTCTTCAAGAACTCAAACATTAAGAAATCATCAGTATTTGGTTGCTGGCAAGCCAAATGCTGGAAAAGAAAGACATCAGAAGTATCATGGAACCAAATGTCCCAAAACCTATTTGGAGGTAATTTCTGAACTGAGAAATATGAATATAGTCATATTTAATTCTTGTTTGATTCGGTTTGCTTGTTTAGTTATGGTTGTGGTTGTAGTGACTACATACATATATATAAATGTATCAAGGATAAATTATATAATCATCAATTGTTGTGGGTAGTCACATTATGTTATGATTTTTTATTAAAAATTTACTCTGTTTGGTACATAAAAAACAGAGTATAACAAAAGGAGGTAGGATTAGAATTTTGCACGAAAGTTGATATATAATATAAGAAATTTAAATTTGGCGGACCAAATTTGAATTTGATGGATATTTTGCTACAATTCTGCAGGAAATTCAAATTTGCTGCATCAAATTCAAATTTGCTTCTCCTTTCCTTGTCATATCAAACCTTAAATTTTACAGGACATAATTTTAAAAACAAAAATTTTTTTTTAAAAGGATCTTATTGCATTAGAAACTAGGCTCAATGAGCTTTTCAGTGATATGTCATTTGTCGAACAAAGAAATTAGAATGTTAGCTAACTATTTTTGTAATTTCAATGGGGGCAAACATAGATTTTTGTTATTGTTGTCTTTTTAATACTGAAACATGCTTTTTGTTAAAAAAATTGAGATATTGGCTAGCTGTTTTTGAAAGTTGGGTTTGATGAATTATTATCTTCCAGCATTATTATAAGGAACATAGTCAACAGATCATACAACGCCTTACGATTAAAGACAAAATGAGACTATCTTCAAAAATATTACATAAATTTTGTTTGCAATAAAAATATTCAATTGACAAAAGGATAAACAAGAAATTAAAACAAAAATTACAGTTCTCATAACAGAATTATTGTGTATAGTCGTTATATATTATTCATATTTTTCTCATATTCAAATTTAAAATTCTGTTATATTTAATATATTTTACTTTTACTCTGTTATTTAATTTTTTTATTTAATTATTTTTATTAATTTAATATTCATAGTGAATCTTATATTTATATTGAATATTAATTTATTTAAATTATAATTTATTGAATTTTTTTAATAATATTATTATTCTATAAGGTTAAAAAGTATTTTTATTTATATTATTTTGTTCTTATTTAAAAAAAGCATTTTTATTTAAACAATGTTATTTTTTTATTCAGGGTAATATGGTAAAATAACTCAATTATTTTTTCACATTTTTCATCCAACTAAACATAAATTTTCTATTGAACCCATTTTCATCTTCAGTGCAAACCAAATACTTACTCGTTTAAAAATTTTCCATTCTATTCCTTTTAATTCTTTTCCATTCCAATTGATTTTTTAAACCAAACGGGCCCTTAGATAGTCAAAATGACATCAATCCTTTAACATGATGGGAAGCCATTTCGCTGGCTCGTTATGATTTGTGAGGCTAAAATCCATTGTGGTCCGGGGATAGGGGTTAGATAGTTCTCATTGGTTATCATTGGTACTGTCACACTGCCAGTACATAGCTCTGCATTAGTTCCAAAGGGAGATCAATCATGTAACATATTAAATGCAGGGTACCCAAGCTGCTGAATATGGAAAGGACCACATAAACAGTACATGGGGTTGCCCAAGCTCCTGCAAGTTGAACTTACCATTTGGCTTTCAATTCTAGCTTGACTATTAGGTATGCTCAAAGGAAAAGTTCTGTCTCAGAAAGGTGAAGGAGTTGAACCAAAAAGGTAGTAAACTGCTTTGTTCTCTATATTATTGCCATATGTAAGAGTTAAAGAATCAAACTCAGAAGCAGTATACTTGTTTCAAGAATGAAATTTCGTTTTTAAAAAAATCAAAGTACATGCATTGATGCCCCGAAGTATGATCGAACTTGTGACCTCTTATCTGTTTGATACTTTCATCCCACTAGATTACATGACTATTGATAAAGTCTGAATTTGTAGAGAGAATCCCTCCTTTCTACGCAAGGCAAGTTGCTGAGATAGATGAAAAGGGTCTGTAAAACAGCTAAACCATCCTGATTTGTGAGCATAATTTTGTTCCATTATATTTTATTTCATGCTTTGATGACGCCCAATAAGGAAAGTAAGATCTACGCTTGATTTAAATATTTAAACAGAGGAGCAAAGATTATGTTTTCCTCACTTATGGGGAATTCCTTTGATATAAGGATCATAGTTAGTTCATCTTTTCGAGCATAGACCAGTAACTAATTTTTATGGGCCTTAAGGACCCAAAAATAGTGTTTTCTAACTGCCTTAAAAACCTATAAGAGCCCACCAATTTGACCAAGCCTAAGCCGAGAGTCCAATAACCACCAAATTATGCAGTGGAATTTGAAATGCACCGTCAATATTACCTACATTTAATATCTAATAATGCCTCGAATAGAATTAGCTCTAATTAGAAAATACTTATGTGTAGCAAAAAAAATTCTGTTGGAAAAAAAACCATTTCTCTACTTCCCAATTATATATTACTTCTAACTCAAATTCTATTAATGAAACCTTCCATCCTATAATTAATATGCTGGCTGAACGCTTCGCTAAACAATTCAAGGGACTCAAAATTCCTATTTTCAATTTGCTCATCTAAATTTAAAATAATTAATTTGAAACTTACATCTTACTTGAAAATTACTCAAATCAGTAGATAAAAAACTATTCCCCCCCCCCAAAAAAAATCCATTAAAATGTAGCTTTGGATACTTGTGAACATTGCAATCAAATGATCAAATCTCAAGCCCCAAAAGCCAAATCCTGGTTCATTATAAGTAAGATTGTATTTCATACATAATGAATTAAAATAGTACAGAGAAGAAGAATTATGTTATAAATCATCATATGTATAAATCAAGATAATAATGATTAGTTGCACACACGTTACTTGCAACATAATACTCCCTTCTATTTTCATTACAGGTATCTATTACCAACTTTACATAAGTTAAACATTTAATTTAAAATTATTTAACTATCATGATTTTAAGATTATTTTCAATAAAATTTATTAGTTAGAGAATATTGTGTAGTTAGTTGAGAGATTATTTAACAAGTTAGGAAATAATAAAACAAAGACATTAACTAGTATATTGGAGTTCTTTCTTTATTTGTTTTTTGAGTTCATCAATAGCTCCATATTAGAACAGTGCAAAGGACGAGACGAGATTCGAACAACCTTATCTCATGTCTTGAAATTGGTCCTATGCTGTTTGGAATTGGGTGGGATTGGAAAATTTGAGTAAAATAATAGAGTGGGAGAGAGATGGGAGATTGATAATTAAGCAACTAACTTTTATGATGATATCTACATATTCAAATTTTGAGTAATCAATTACACTTTTTCCATTTAAGCCATAATGAATCCATTCTTTTTTTTTTGAATCAAGAATCGATTCATTTCAAGTACCATCCTTTAACAATTTCATCAGGACATGAAATAATGAGAAATCTTGCAAACCTAAAAATATACTCCTCCGGTTCTTAATACAAAATCTATTTAACTAATTTGATTAGATTAAGGAAGTTAGGTAAATTAGTTAATTATAAAAAATGTGACACCATTTTCCTAAAATACCATAATCATCTTTCTTAATACCTCATCTTCCTCTCCTAATTGATTATAGTTGAAGGAGTATTCATATGGTAATTTAGAGAAAATTGATAAATATGAGAAATGTGTCTTATATTTAGGGGGAAAAAAATTCAACAATTGGGTCTTATATTAAGGACCGGAGGAGTACTATCTTGTGAAACTAGAAAATCAGCATATTAGCTTATGTTACTTCTTACGATAAAGCATTATAAAATTAAAAACGTAATTTATCATTGAACATATAGTAATTTATGTTTTCTTTTTAAATTGGATCTTTTGAGTGAACATTTTCCAAAATATGAAAGGAAAAATAATTATTTTATGATACTCATTATTTAAAATGAGACTAAGCCAAATCTTAGAAGATAAAAAGCAAAGCCAAATTTTAGATGGCAGTGCATTTTCAATTTTTTGGCTGAAAAGCACAAACCACATCGTTTCTCTGTCGCGAGCCCAAGAATTTTATTGCTCCCAGCTAAAGGATTTCGCATCCACTATCTCTTTTCGATTTTGAGCCTTGGATGCATTGGGATACAAGAAGGAGCACTAGGTCAACAGGATTTTGAGTGTAAACCACATCAAATCAAAGACTATTTTCATGAGGAGGCAATGAGATCCCACCCAAAGTACGATCTGTGCACAAAACAATGCTCCAATTACTGCTGTTCTATAAGAATCCATTACTCCACTTATCCCTTGCTTCATCTCTTGCTTTCTTCCTCACTTTTTTCAAAATCCCAGTTCTTTTTCTTTATGGTATCCACTCCTACATCCACCCGGATAACTTCAATCAGAATAATGGCATCAGAGCTGCTATTCGCCGGTCTGGCAACGCCGGCTGCGCTTCTGGGCTCGAGGTTATCAATCTTTGTCCTCAAAAACCAGCGTTGAGCTCAGGAAGAGGAATAAGTCCAAGGAGAAGACAGACTTCGATGAAAACAAAGCGCAGATCTTTAGGCTGACATTAGACCAGGGTCATCTCCAATCTTGTCTCTTTGCTGATCAGTATGGCATTGCTTTTACCATCTCTGTTACTGCTATTGCTTGCTTGTTGCTTCACAGTTTCTTGGGTGTGTTAGAGAATTCTGGGTTTTTGGAAAGTGGGCATTTTGTTCCTATTCTGTTAACAATTGCAGGGCTGAGTTTGTGGTTTTTGTTGCTTATGAAGATTACTTTTGAGAGGTCGGCATCTAGGAGATCAGAAAAGCAATTGAGTTTAGCTTTTGGGGTTTCAGGATTTTTCGCTAGACTTTTAGTTTTTTCTGCTAATGTTTTTTTGGTTTTTGGACTTCAATTTTGCTCCAATTGATGGACATGGAAGGCTTTTATTACTACTTTAATGGGATTTCTCACAGCTTTTCTCTTTATTCTGGCTGCAAGAAGTGCACGTTCATTCTGGCTTGGAACTGATCAGCTTCGTTGCAACCTATCTATGATAACTTGTGGATGGTTCACTCGTACAATTCTATATGCAAGCCACATCTTAGTTGTATTTGTGGCATTGCTTTGGGTTAGTCCATTGGCTAAAATTTTTGTAAACACTAACTACAGTGATGATAAGAGGGCAACTGAAATGAGTAAAGTTGGCAATGCTGAGAAATTGGTGGGATACATGGGGTTCTTACGTTCTGATTTTGATAACTTCAAGCACTGGTGTTTGTTAGTGTCAAGTTTATTGCAGATTTTGGCATTACGCCCAAACCTGCAAATGTATCTTAATGAAGCTTTGTTATCTTGGTATCAGAGGCTCCATGCTAGCAAGGTTCCTGACTTGGACTATAGTAGGGCTAAGGTGTTTCTGCATAACCACTACTTATGTCTTGTAGCCTTACAGTTTCTTGCACCTCCTGTGCTGGTATTTCTCTTTCTTGGCTTCTCTCAGATTGATGACTATGCCTTTGAGAGTTTCTCTTTGTTACTTAGTATACTGCCTTCCTCTGCTTTTGTCAAGGAAGTTGCTTTCTTTATGGCCTAGTGGGTAACTTTTCTATGGGATGTATTTTCATCAGCAATCCTTGTATTGCATCGCCATTGCATTCTATATGTTTCTTGAGGAGTTGATCTCTTGAGGGTATTTTTCTTGGACATTTTATTGTAATTTGAATGCTTATACGAAAATTTTGAAAAAAAGGGTGTTTGTGTTTCGATGGATTTGAATGCCCTTTCAATATATCAAGTTAGTGGAATTTAGCTGGATTTATATGTATGTTAACTTTTGCATCTTTGATTTGTTAAAACGATTATATATATTGGCAAAACATCCTATTATGCTGTGTAACTGGGAACTCATGCAAGCTACTGAGATTAATTTGTCCACCTTAGGATCACTCAGCATGCTTCTCGTTCATTATTGCTTTTTCTACTCTTGATGAAAATGTTACACTTTAGACAGCCCCTTTAGTGGTTTTTTTTCTCGTTCCTGTTATACAATTATTGCATCTGTTGATTTTGTTAGGCATATCTGAGGGAAAACTATAAAGGGTTGCCAGTAGTATGAGCATCTTTCAATGTTATAATACTAAAACTTCTATCTTGATGCCTATTTTGAGTCCTTAATTGTTACTAATTGTATTCTATTTATGCATAATAAGCTCATAGATTAATTGTTTACTTTGAAAAGTAGTTATGGAATACTAAGCAAAACTATGAGTCATCTAATACTATTGTTCCATAAAAAGTATCTTTTAAATCACGGAGAAAATACTGCCCATTTATTGCCTTAGGACTCTTTGATCCCTGCAATGAGATATTCCTTCCTGTCCAGTCTTTACAGTATACTTTCTGTTCTTTATTGTGTTGTATTTTCCAAAAATGTAAACCTGTAGGGCATCTCTACAGAGGTTTCATTGCCAATGATAACTTTATTAAATTTGCAAAACACGACAGACATATTAGACTTTGCCCTTTACATTCATAACTCCTGTATATGAAAATGGAAGAATGTATTAGCTTCATTTTTGAATTTTCTGACTCCAAGAGAATTAGAGCTCAAATTATGATAGGTCAAAGCTTAACTTTTAGTCATATGTGCTCCATATGCAGACAAAATAAAAAGGTACATGACTATTTGATCTACAGACAACCTAAACATATTGTATCAGTATGTGCATAGGGGAATAACAATGAACATTTTATAAAGTTATGTACTAACATATAATGTACTGATTAGCAAGTAAAACTTGATAGTATGATTTTAGAATTATGTTTGAGACTCTTTATTGTGTTTCTGTGAAATTTGTGTTTACATATGTATTTAAGGCATTAGATAATTTTATAGGTCTAATCATGCTTTTAAATGGAATAGGTGCTTTGGTTAGGGTGGTGCTTCCTTCTCATACTTGAATATCAATATGTCCAAGGGCATTTGGGTTCATTAACGCACTGTGATTTTCTCATTCTTTTCTCTTCCCTAATTTTTGATGTTGTTTTCATTGCTCCCTTTAGTTAAACACGTCTTTTATTTGTTTAGGATATGGCCTCAATAAATGCTATGTTCAATTATAGAAAGTCATTATATATTGTTATAATATATGGTGCAAGAGTGCGTGGCGGACAAAGAGATGTCGTTAGTTTGAAATGATGTTTTAGATGTCTTCTAGGACTGTCTTAGTTGTTTTTACATTTATGTTTCACACACCTTTTTACACAGTTTTTGATCCATTAAACTGATTTGTATTTTGTTGTGTGCCTTTGAATAAGTCAGGCAGAGTTTACAAAAAGAGAATAGGTCATACATTTTTTAAATATGCAAGACATATTTCAAGTATGGTATTCAATATCATCAAACTATGAACTCCTTGTTCATCTAGGAAGAAATATTTCTTATTTTTTAAGACATGATATGTGTGTGGAATTAACATAATTGTGTAACTGCATTTTAGGATCCAAGTGAAAAATGACTATAGAATACATTATGAGGTACTGTATCCATCAAAATTTGATAGTAGGAAATCTCAAGAGGGATACATCTCCCACTTGGCTTTACATGGTTATTTAAGGAGTGAGTTAGCAAGTTAAAGTTTTAACTAACCAATTATCTTCATAGCTACTGCCAATTTGATTTTGTCACCATTCAACTAGGGATGATCATTTATGCTATTTCTTAGACTTTTCCCATATTATGAATCTCAAGAATGTTTCCAAACAAGAAATGTCTCCAAAACATCTATTTAATATTTCTTCTTGGTCATTGGATTGTTGTTATGAAAATAAAATCCCTGTCACTTATTATTTCAGTTTTTTTTTTTGAGCGAACACTTATTATTTCAGTTTGGCCCCAAGTAATTTTAAGTGTCATGTAGGAATTGTACCATAATAGCTGTTGAGAAGGGATGTGTGAGGGCAATGAAAAGGGTGTACTTTTGCTCATCCGATCACGGCATTGTTTCTTTCAATAAAATGTATGATGGAGATTAGCCATATCCTTTGTGGACAAGTGTTATAGTACATCTTACACAAGTGTCACGGTACTTTGGGAAAAAAATTTACATTGCTTTTCATATTATATAGCCAAAATAATGTCTTCAACTTCTGATAAGTAGTAAAGTGCATTCATGCGAATAACTTTTGGCTCGGTGGCATGTTATCTTACTTAGGGGGTGTTTGGATAACCTCAAACCATGGTTTGGAGAATAGCTTCTGGAGAATAGATTCTGGAGAGAATAGATTTTGAAAGAATAGCTTTTCTGAAAAAGTGATTTTGATAAAGTGAGAGTGTTTGGATAGTTATTGTCAGAAGTGCTTTTTTATATGTAAAAATTACTAAAAAGGACATAAGTTTAAATGATAATTACATATAAGATATATTTCATAATATATGTTTATTTGAAGTAAATAAAAATATTAAGAAAAAAGTAATACGTATATATATTAGTAAAATAAATAAATAATTTTTTTGCAAAATAATTTAATAAAATAATTAAATATGTATATATATTAATAAATTATATATATTAATAAAATAATTAAAATTAAAACGTATATATATATTAATGAAATAATTAAATATGTTTTTCGTAAAATAATTTATTTTGCCAACAAAGAAATATGATTATTTCTTAAAGATTTTAAAGATGAAGAAATCCCATAATTTTTTTTGACAGAATTAAAGAACCACACAAAAAAATTTCATATCAATTGTCTTCATAATAGAAGTTGCAACAAAATATATTTGTCCAAGTACTTTTTTTTGTAACAACACATTATATTATCTGAAAAGAAAAGAGGAAATAAAAAGGACATGACTATTCTCGTATATAGTGAGCAATTTGATCTCTAATTGAGTCACGAAGTCGAGCCATGTGAGATGAAGATTCTATTGATGAAGGTATATGTGAAGATCCAAGTCCATCATCATCATTATTTTCTTCTGCATAAGAACCTTCTTGTTCAAACTGAATGAAACCAGGATCAGAAATGGATATTGATCTAATGAAGTTATGTATGGCCATTGTTGCACAAACAATTTGAACCTGTGTTGGAAAGTCATAGCTCGGCATGTTTCCTAAAATTGCAAACTTACTCTTCCAAACTCCGAAAGTTCTTTCAATAGTGCTCCGTAGACTTGAGTGCAAATAATTGAACGCCTCATTGTCATTTTCAATTGCAGATGACCTTCGAAAATCAGGGAGATGGTAGCGTTCATGTCTATAGGGACCAAGATATCCCATGGGTGTCGGATAGCCAGCATCGACCAAATAATATTTGCCTACATGAAATATATGATTGGTGTTAATAAACTTTGTCTTCTAACAGTTAAACATAAATAAATTGTAGCAATTTAAAATATACCTTGAGGCGGATGGGGAAAATTCATGGAAGGAGTTGTGAGGGCGTGGTCAAATATACGAGCATCATGCGCACTACCTTCCCATCCGGCCAATACAAAAGTGAAGCACATGTCCCAATCACAAACCGCCATTACATTTTGCGTCACTTTTCCTTTTCGGTTAATAAATTTTGTTTGCTCAGTTGCATCAACAATGCATGAAATATGTGTTCCATCAATTGCTCCAATAGCATGCTTGAAAAAGGGCCAGTATCGACCACCGGGCCGTATTTTTGTATGCAAATGTTGAAATGTTGGATCTTTTGGTTTGATATTGGACATAGCAAGTCTACAGCATGCCAATAAGACATTATGGAAATGTCTACTAATTGTCTCCCTCGAATGCTGAAATCTTTCTTGCTGCATCCTACTACTAAGCGCATGGCCAACGGTATTTAAAAACATTGCAACCATTTCATGTATCCCAACATTTCTAGTTTCCGTAAGACCGTGTTGCTGCAATTCTGTGCAAAGACTGAAAAACACTTCCCTTTCCATCCTAAACATGTTATAACAACGGGTGGAATGGCCTTGTAAAACGTCCCTTACCCATGCCTTGCCTGTATAAATACTTGTGTGCTGGGGCTCTTTACACAAATGAAGAGAAGCGTATCCACCAACTGCTACTGCAACTTGATTAATCCGTTTGTTCCGTCGTTTACGATACTTTTCCGCAATTTTAATTTCATCAGCCATTTTTTGTCTTGTCCTGTGCACATAGATATAAAATTCAGAAATCCTCATATGAAATTAGTAAACATTTAACAAGGAAATAAGTTGTCTAATTCCTAAAGAAGTTTAGCAGTCACATAATACAATAGTGCTGGTTACATCATTCCTAAAAACATATGCAAATTATCACAGTCATCTCCTGAATAACACAAAAAGTAGTCAAATACTATGATAAGCAACACAAATGAAGTCTCAATATTTTGTTGCATGCTTCAAGAAGATCAGGAGTCTTTCCCTCTTGTTCTTCAGAGTCACATACATCTCCCTTGCAGCTTGCTCCCTCATAAGGAGTGTTGTGCACCGGCCAAACAAATCAGGATCATCAACAACTTCATCAACTTCGTTAAGGTGCTCCATGACTCCCGCAATTGACGTCTCATAAGCACGCGCTTCTTCTTCTATCTTCCTAGCACGTGCTTCTGAAATCTCTTCATATTCACGCTGAGAATCATTTTCATTTGCCTGAGCTATCCTGCTTAATGCATCTGCTATTTTCATAGTGGCAGTGTTCTTCTTCTTCATGGATTCACCCTTTTTTTTAACCCCTAATGAGCTACTAGGTCGACTGCCACCTGTGCTTCTACCCCCACGACTGTTTTCCCGTCTCATCCCAGTGTTGCCTCCACTTCCTCCACTATTGTCATTGAATGTGACCGAATTAAACTCTCCGCTTATCCCAGTTGGTGCCCCCAATATTTCATCACTATCTCCAGACCCTTCTTCCATATCATCTTCAGGAACTCCTTCACTTGGAAGTGTCATGGAAGAAGGTGCCCATGACTGGGGTCCAGTTGCAGCTACAGACCCAAAGAGTTGAGTCAATTCAGCCCGAAACTGAAGCCCTCTTTCTCTAAATTTCTCGTAGCCAGGAACTTCCTGCGCATTCAACACCAAAATATAATACATTATACAAAAAACGTTAACATGTGAGAAAATACAAGCTCAAATAAAGTTAAACCATTACCACTATTTTCTTCTCCCACCAATCATCAGGGGCACTAACAGTATTCCTTTCGGCATCCCATCCCAAACCTGTCTCACGGAGCAGCCTATCCCATAACTGCCACTCCTTTCGCAGGGTATCATATTTGTTTTTCAATTGGATTCTCGTATAGGCTCTCCCAGTCTTTGCAGTGAAGCTGTCCACAACACTTGTCCAACCAGTTTTTGTCAAGCTAGTTCCTTTTCTTCCCCCTTTTTCAACTTCTTCAATGCACAGGTCAATAAAAACCTTTGTGGTTCTTATATCCCATGAAGCTTTGCCAGTTTGTTTACTCATTATACTATAGACCAATTATAATACTTCAGTCATCACAAGGTCAACCCAAAAAGCATGCCATTCAATCCAGGAGATATAATATAATAGGTATAGTATTTAACAAGTATAGCCGCATGTTCTTTTCCCATTCACAAACAAAAACACAGAAGCATAACTTAAATTATGAAGTAAAGAGACTGGCCAAGAATTTTGGTATACCGCTACTTCTACTTCCTCAATACTAATTTCTTTCAAGCAAACCTATAATATCTCAAGAGTGGCATTAATTACTTTCGGAATAGAAATGGCGTTTCATATTTAGCTACATTATTTTCTAACAGAGAGGGGAACCAAAATATATGACCATAAAAATAATCCTCATGTTCTCATTTCAAAAATATCATTATAAAAGGTAAATAGACAATTTCAAGGTTGAGTTTTGATCATCATAATTGACATGTTAACACTAGAGATGTACTGATCATTTCCTACTTGAAAAATAATAACAAATTAGATAACACTAGTGTTTGTTTTGTGTAATCGATCACTCTCTTTTCCTTTGGGCTTGTTCATTATTGCAGAAAAACGAGGCCCAAGATGACTCTTCCCATATTCTTGATGACATTGGTGCTTGGTTTCCTTGAGTGATATTGGACATACTGCACCCCTACTTCTTTCTAATTAACTTTGTTTTTTGTCAGATTTCTCTTCAAATACATGCATGCTTGCCCACACACTCTCTCGGCTTGTGGCTCCAACTTTTGATTGACACCCTAATGATGCTCCCTACATGATTCATTCCTCGGTTTTATTTTTTAATTAATAAGGAGAATATATTCTGATTAATTAATCCATCACATGCATACTCTAGATGAAATTTATCATCACTTTGGTACGTATAACATGCATACTCTAAACGAAATAAGTGATTTTTAGGATCATTGAAGCATGTTTGGCCCGTACAGAAATGGATCAAAGAAAAACCTTGCGAATGGTGAGGTTTTCCTCAAGAATTACAATTTGTACCTTCTGAATATGCTTTACCCAAACCAAATCCAAGTTCTGCCGCCACCGAACTTGAATATACAATGGATCAGACGAAGATACAATGGGGTTTTAAAACTATAGACTTGTAAAGTTAGAAACTTGAATATCCAATACAGGGGATCCGATTCTGCTCTCACATACCCACGCAAGCAAAGATGGATTCAGAGGGCAATATTGATGACTTCTATCGGTGTTATTCGCGAGTGAAGAAAGAAACAAAGAAAGAAAAATTTCATTTTAGATCGGGCTCAACTTAAACATCAACATTGTTTCTGGTTTCTCAATAACATCATTTTCTGTCATAGCTGATCGGTGTCAAGCAAGCAACCAACAAAATCAGTAGCTATAAGTGAACATCGCAGGCAACCGATGAAACCACCATCTGTGTCGGAAAAAAAAAAACGACGCTGGACGGACCTCTGTTTCGGGAAAAAAACGACGCTAGACGGAATTTCATAATGCACCACATCTTCAGCCACCTCCAACAAGGAAGAAGACAGCTCACCTGAAACGTTGGATCTGACTGACGGAAGAAGACACGGCGACCAGAGCAATCGATGACCCGACGAACAGAACACCGGAGATAGCAAAAATCTGTGAATGGATCTTCTGTTGGCAAGCCTCACCAGCGCTGAAAATCACGGCTCAACGACCTCATCGGTGGCAAGAAGACCCGTCGAGCTTCAGAAGGGGCGACGGCGGGAGTGATGGAACCGAACACAGCGACTTGAGATGGACTGACTGGCGACGATACCGGATCTTCTCCAAGGCCGAGAAACACCTTGCCAGTACTAAAATTCCTCAGCGGTTCACGATCTCACCGGTGGGATGAAGAGGCGACGGCACAGGAGAAGACAAATCTAAGCGGCGACGGCACAGGAGAACCGAATTCTTCAGGGCGACGGAATGGGAGAGAAGATCAGAGAAACCGGAGGCTCGCCGAGTGGAAGCTACTGAGGGACCAATAATTGGAAGCTACTGAGGGACCAATAATTACTCCAACGACTATTTTGACTCCTCAGAAGATATCTTAACCGCGGGTGGCGTGCAGCTTCAATCAAAACCAAGGTTTCCAGCTCAAAACCATGGTTTTGCTGGAAACCATGGTTTTTAAAATTTTAAGGGTGTTTGGCAAATTTTTTGCCAAACCATGGTTTGGCATAAAACCCAAACACCCCCTTAGTACATGACTGTCCCAAGTATTTTTGTTCTTGTGCTTTTTGCTGAAATTTATAACTGAGTGGACAATCATATATAGCCTTCAAATTATGATCATCAAGCTCCCATTGGAAGATGGAAGTGAACAAGGATGAAAGTAGACAAGACCTAGGCATAAATATTAGAATGAAAGTAGACAAGACCTAGGTATAAATATTAGAAGTATATATTTATCTATTTAGACATAATAAAACTTATTTAAATTATATTATCATATATATAAATATTACAGGTGTATGTGTTTATATAACTCATTATATAAATTTATTAATATGTTCGTAAGGGAGTCATAATAGATAATAGTTAATGTAATATAAAATTAAGTTTTCTGTTCTTTATTATTTTTAAAATTGTTTAAATTATATTTTATCTATACATAATTTCTATATTGATATATCACTTAATATATATTCATATAAATAATTTAATATATATTTTTATTATTTATACATAGATAAAATGCGATATAGTTATATTAGCAGTCATCTTAGATGGATGTACATATTTACTTATGTGGTTCAAGCTATAGGTTGGGCATGAGTCAAGTCATCCTTAAAGCAAAGATTTGGTGTGTCTATGTGCCATAAGGCTGAAAGCAATTGGCTTCAATGACATATCATAATGTTTCCAGAATAGTATGAAGGCGAACATAAGAGGCCAATCAAGCTACACACCTGCCATTTTTTGTCTGGGATCAAAAGTGTCTATATATGTGTCTTTTTCTTCACCTTATCAAATTCAAGCTTTGAGTTTGAAGGGGTATTAAAATAATTAAGCACACCATTTTTGATTTAAAGTTATATCCAGTTCAAGTTAAATTATATAAGATGAAATACCATTAAGCTTGCAGCTACTATATACATATATATGTGTGTGTAAAAAATGTCTTGGTAAATGATGATGGAGAGATACATGGTTAAAAAATAATCACCAGACCTAAAAATTGATTTACGCTAGAGATCAATGGATATCAAATATTTCCAAATGAATTTCATTTCAGGCGATTCTAATGAGCCTCTTGTGGTCTTTTTTTTCATAATTTTCCTTAGATACAGGTAATTACAATAAAGTAAGTTTCAACAAGATGTGAAAAAAGAATAAGGTGCTTAAGTATCTAGAAAGTATTCATAAACGAGCATTCAACATTTAGAAGTTTTTTTTTTCATTATATACCTTAGAAATTTATTTTTGTAACAAATATATCCTAGTTGTTAGTTAAGTTTGACCGATGTCTTTAATGGGCAAACTTAAGTTTAGGACAAAAATGCTATGAAATAAAACTTTCAGATATATAAAAACTAAAAAAATTCCAGGTATTAGGTGCTTCTTCATAAATACTTTTAGGATATTTAAATACCTTGTCTCAAAGGAAAATTTACTGAATGGAAATTATTGTAAGCAAAATAATATCTAAACGAGTGTGATATGCTAGTTAATCTCCCAATGGATGTGCAGACATAAAACAAACTAGAATGTAATGGGCTAATAAGGAAATACTTTAAGCTAAAATGATGAACAACTAAGTAAATATTAATATTAGAAAATACTTCTAAAAACTAATCCAGACACTCAATCTATTTGTCGGCCAGCTTGACTTGATATCCAAATTCCATATTCAACAGATTTAAAAAGCAACTTCCTTGCTTTCATATTTTGAGCATCGTGGGTGGACCCTATAATTAGTGGCCTTGACTTGATCTCCCAAGCTATTTAACTTGATCGTTAAGGCTTCTTTTGACCTTCTAACATATTCATAATTGATATTAATCATGATTTTACCTTTTAATTTGAGTTGGACTTGGGTCTCAAAAATCATAACTTGTTTTTTTTTTTTTTGCCAAAAGAACAAAATGGTATTAGAATTAAAGAAGATTACAATGTCCCAAACGATAAAGACTTACAAGATACATAAGAAAATTTTAAAAACAAAGGAAGAGGAACTATTCTAGAATTATAACTCCCGACACAATCCAAAGTTAAAAAATATCTTTCCAAATTGAATCAACAGAAGGAGGAGGCTTATGGGGAATTGTGATGAAATATTTTTGCAAGCAGCTCATAGTTAATGATTGTAATTCTTGATGCACAGATCATCCAGAAAAGGAAAGCTCTTAGGCACAGTCAAAGAAAGATCTAACCCTTACAATTTTTGCTTCTCCATAGAAATTCTTATAATGATGTTCCATAAGCATGTAATTCCGTGACAGTGAGTAGTTCTCTGTTTCTTGGTTTTATATAGAATAATATCCCATCCTTCTTAATTTAATTAGGAAGTCATTGCTCAAAACAAATTGCACAGGAGACTGAAAAATACGCAAATCAGATTGAGGTGAAAAGCCTAACTAAGAGACAGAATATGCCATGTATCTCTTTGATAGTAGCAATTACAGACATCTTCTTTCCTTGATGTAGAATTAAATTTCGCTTTTGCCAAATAGCAATTAAAATATAGATGATTTTGCCAAGCAACATTAACATATCCATCATTGATCAAAATAGAGAGAGCATGCATTAGCCAATCAATAAACTGTTAAAAGCTATGTTGCATTTTTATGTTAAAACATCCAGACTATAGAGCTCTAGAGGAAGGGTAGGAAATGAAAAGATGATCTAAAATCTCCTCCATTCGACAACCAAAAGAGTAAAGGCTAGAAATATTAAGATGATGAGCCCTTAATACATCACAAGAAGGGATAGCATGTCTAATGCATTCCACATAAAAAGAAACGTCTTTTGAGGCAAAAGAAATTTCTAAATGAACTTCCAGAAATCATCAATAACTGTAGTATCAGCATTAATTAAAATAGAAGCTCTATCTTTTACCTTATAGATATCCAAAAAATTTCCTTTCCATGCCAGTTCATCTGAGGTATTTGAGAATGAAAGGGGAAAGGACAGAGAATCATAACTCTTCAACGTTTTTTTCCCCATCATTCACCCAAGAGAAGAAACGCACACACATCCATTACATTCACAGAGAGTTGAATTCGCAACATCATGTTTGAGCAAGACTTTAAAGAGGTGTTAAGTACAAATTGAGCCAAGCGGCTCCAAGTTGTTAAAGTTCTTTTTTTCTTGATACAAATTGTACAACTACTTAACAAAACGAAGACCAACAAGACCATATAAGCTTAACTTTCTTCATATCGCAATGGTCACGTTATGATTTCCAGGTGGAAGTAAATTAAAGATATAAAAGTTTGCCTCAATATGATATGAGAGGCTTCAGATCATTCTTACTAGTATGTCAACCCACCAATTTTTATAGTAGACCGATCAAATAAAGGTTTGGCTCCTGATATCCTTTTTTTTTATTATTGTGTATATCATTTGGATCATTGGATGCATTGGATGTGCATTATATATTACTCCCTCTGGTTCAAAATATAAGCCAAACTTTCTTAAAGAGGTTGACTTTTTTTATAAGATACTCCCTCCGTTCCTTATTATAAGAGACATTTGATGCTTATGGCATGTTCCAATATATAAGAGACACTTACAAGTTGTCTCTACTTTTTTGTGTTGATTTACTATTTTACCCATATTTATTATCTCTAACTCACACTCTCTCTCCCTCCCACTTCTCTTTCTTTTAATAATTTAATTGTTCTCTCTCATGCTCTCTCTCCTTATTAATGAGGGCATTTTTGGAAAAAAAAATTATACTTTTTACACATTAATTGTTCTTAACTAATTTTAACTGTTTTTTTGATCAACGTACTTCGGTTATTTGTCTCTTATAATAAGGAACGGAGGAAGTAACATTTACTTTTGTCTAAACATTTAATGAAGTTTTTCTAATTTTATCCCCATATATTCTCTCTCCTCTTTAATTTATTTATTATATCTTTTACTTATTCTCTTCATTAATAAGGGTATATTAGGAAAAACAAATATATGTCTTACACATTTATTGTTTTAAATTGGTTGTAATTAGTTTCTTGATAAACGTAATGAATAAAGTTTAGCTTATATTTTGAACCGAAGGAGTATTTAATTTTCTAGAAGTTTCTTCTTTAACATAAATCTAATAAAAGGCTTGCTCCAGATATCATTTTCTTCTAGCCTGACCTCCTCGGAAGTATTTGATATTTCATATTAAATATTATCATCATTCCAATCCAAAACTAAAACTCCAGAGACAAAGCAAATCAAGTCCCTTTTTCTTTCCATTTTTATATTTATTCTAAATATCAATATCCAAGTTCCTATAATTTAACTCATTCTTAATTGAGTCTGGATAGCATGTTCTTATTGGATCCTTATCCTTTTTCAATTACAAGTATTCATCCCTATCTTTTAATTTGTTAATGTATACCCAAAAAAAAATTTGTTAATTTGCAAAAGTAATAATTAATAACGTAGCTTGTAGCTTTTTACACAACATATATTTAGAATTTTAGCTTAATTTCATTTGATCATATGAATCTGAAAAGTAAAAATTATAAGAATTCAATAAAAAAACTGCGTAAACTTAAATACAAATCAGTTAAAATGATAAGGATTGGCAGGTTTATTTTCTAGTATATTCATTCTTCTGGAAGTCTCGTGAAAAACATTAACCCCACGGTAAATCATCGGACACACGCATCTCAAGTCACATGCATGCAAACGGATCACGGAAACAAATCTCCTACGGAGACGGAAGTTTCTGGAGAAAGGACGAAACGCTTGTGTTTCTCGCGCCTTCCTCTCTTTCCAATTCCGCCTCTCTTTTTTTAAAATAATTTGTTTTCTCTTTCGTACCGGATTTTTTTCCTCTTCTCTTCATCCATAAATTGCTCTGCGAACCTTCTAGAATCCCCATAATTATCCTCCCCCTCCTCTCTCACTCCCTTCTGTCTCACTTTCTCTCTCTTTCCCGCTTCTCGTCTGTACTGGCCGTTCTGAGAAACAAGATTGCAGTGGGAAGCTCGTTATCGTGATCTGTGGTTTATCTTGAGTTATTTCTAGCTATGGCTCCACAGCCGGTGGATCACAAATGCGAGTCCACGGCCGGTGAGTCTCAGAGATCTATTCCGACCCCTTTTTTAACGAAAACTTATCAACTTGTTGACGATCATACCATAGACGATGTCATATCGTGGAACGAAGATGGAACCAGTTTCGTCGTTTGGAATCCGACGGTTTTCGCCAGAGATTTGCTTCCTAAATATTTTAAGCACAACAATTTCTCTAGCTTTGTTCGCCAACTTAACACATATGTAATTGCAATTCTGGATTTTCTCTGTTTTAGTCTTTCACATATCTTTTTTAGAATTTTTTTCTCAGTTCTTTGTCTTATGTTTATTTTCAGGGTTTCAGAAAAGTGGTACCCGATCGGTGGGAATTCACGAACGAGTGTTTTCGCAGAGGCAAGAAACAACTTCTGTGCGAGATTCAGCGTCGGAAAATCTCATCGCCTTCGACCACAGCGGCCGGTGCAACTGCGGTAGTGTCAGCCCCGACGGCGCCGCCGCCATTGACGGCAATACCAATCTCTAAGCCTATCATATCGCCTTCAAACTCAGGGGAAGAACAAGTCATTACTCCGAATTCATCGCCGACCGGAACTCCAGCTGAACTCATAACCGAGAACGAGAGGCTGAGAAAAGAAAACGTTCAGCTGACCAAGCAATTAACAGAGATGAGATCTCTGTGTAACAGCATATTCAATCTAATGTCGAAGTATGTATATAACCAAAATAGCAGTTTGCAAGGTAGAGCGGGTGACTTCGCCGCCGTGAAACCGCTCGACCTGATGCCGGTTGCGCGGAACGTCAGTGACGTGGAGGCGGTGGCGACGGTGGAAGACGAAATGAATCCAAAGCTGTTTGGGGTGGCGATCGGTGCGAAGCGATCACGGGAAGGCGGCGGCGGCGGAGGCGGATGCGATCCCGTGCTAAGCGTGCACAGAGCGGGGCCCGCAGAGATGAGATCAGAGCCGTTGGGTTGCCAAAGGCGGCGAGATAACCAGGAAGCGCCGTGGCTGAATCAGTGCCATAACGCGAATCAGAGAGTTTGTAATTAACACGTGGCATCCCCCTCCAACGTCCAAACGATAGCCTTGGTTGCACGTGACCTTCTTTGCACGCGCCGAGTGGGTCACGTATTTGGGATGGGGATGGATTCCTGAAGTTTCTGAGAGATGCATGCAGACAACATTATCTCTCTGTTCAAGAGGAAAATCATAGTTCCTCTTTTTGCTCTTTTGCTTGACTTTTTTGTCATCGAATTGTATGGCGACAGCTGGACTTAGGTGTGTTCTAGTGCGGATCTTTCCCTTACCATTTTATACTTTTGTTTTAAATTATAAAATATTAATTAATGTAGAATGTTATCGAATGTCCATCATGGTTGATCGATGATGTATCAACATAGTACTTCTGGTATTTAATGTAAAGTTTTATTTGATTTTTATTTTAATTATAAATATAAGATTATAATATATTTTATGTTTTATATTTATATATATTTTTAAGGTAATTTTTTTCAAAAAATAATTCTAGTCAATACATTTAATTAACAAAGATATTTTAGGAAAGATAATACTTATTTATTATAAATAAATAATTTAATTTTTTTAATATTTTTAAATTAGTCAATTAATTTTTATAATTAAGATCGGAAGTAGTATAATGTTTTATTGAAATAAACAAAAATATACTTTAGTTGTTCAACTATGTAAGGTTTTAGATTGGTTCTTTTGAGGATTAGAGGCCTCTTTTTAATCTTTTATTTTGAAACGCTAATTTATTAAGTTTATTTTTAAAATAATTATTGTTATAAAAAATTACCGTTTAAACTAATAATTTTATAATTAAATGATTAAAAATATGCTTTTAAAGTATTGTAACCATGTCATATAATTAAATATATTTCTTTGGCTCATAATGTAAATTATTTTAATCAATTTATTAATATTAAAAATGGTAACTAATTTATTAATTGTGCTTCAAATTAAAAAGTTTTAAGAGAATCCCAAAAAAATAATTTTAAAATTTAAAATTTTAAATCAACTTTGTTCACTATTTATTTTTTATTCACCAAAAAAAAAATTCATAACACTTAAAAAGTAAATAAAAATATATTTTTATAGTTTGATTTAGGATCTTGAAATTTTAGAAATATGTTATTGAGATTTTTTTCAAAATTCTCGTTGATTTTATTCTTGTAAAAAAAATATCATAAGTTATATTAAGCATTGATTGCATGGATAAAATTAAAAACAAATATTAGTTCATATTTTAGAGTAAAACATTCTTTTAAAGTGACTTGTACTGTTTACTCTGGAGTCTGGAGTCTGGAGTATCTTTTTACCGGCTAAAATATATGCACTTTATACTTTAGAAAAAGATAGATATTTGGACTTCATATCGGCCCTCAGTGACCGAATATTGAAAGTGGAAAACTTAATCACGCACCATTACGTGGGTCAATCATGACAAACCGTTTCTTTATTTTAATTCGCACAAGTTGAATGATTCCAGAAGCAAGTACTGAGGAATAATAATGGTGGGGGGATCGCACACGCACCTCGCATTTAAAATAAGGGAAAAAAAAATATCAAGGACATATGTCATGGTGGCGATTCAAAATAATACTAATATTGTACTCTTAACCTATCAAAAACATTAATATTTCAAATTAAAAATATAAAAATAAACTAACAAGTTTAAACCGTTCAAATCATGTTCAGAACTCGATGTGGGTGTGTGTAACAAAATTATAACAACAAAATCATGAGCACTCAATGCACAAGCTTATTATGCAATAAATATATAGATCAGTCGATATTTCCATAAGGCATTGGATTATACTATTTTCTGTTCTTAATATAAGAATTAATTGACTAATTTAAGTAGATTAAGAAAATTAGTTAAATTAATTATTTGTAATAAATATGTATTATATTTCCTGAAATATCCTTACTAATCAAATGTATTAGTTAGAAGTAGAACTATTATTATTATTAGAACTACTTTTAAAAAAATAGCTAAATATGAAATACAAAGTGGACTGATGTCTTATATTTGAAAGTAAAATAAAAGTCAAACTAGCTTTTATATTAAAAACAGGAGTTAGTATATTTTTCGTGAGTTTAAATCTTATTATCACATGAGGATTGTTTTGATGAGGAGCTTGTACATGTTTTTGCTAGTGATTCTTGAGTAATAAAGTTTTTAATCCAGGTGAGCATTTAGCATCTAATCTACCATATTTTCTTTCTTTTTTGTTGCGCCTAATAAAGCTTTATTTCCCGTTGGATTTAGCATTTAAATTTTATTTAGTATTGTGAAGTTATTTTTCTGGAGCTTTTAGCGTTCCAATCTTATACAGTGCATTTAGCACCTTAAGTTATAGATAATATTAGGGTGTTAAATATAACTAAAAAATAAAACTAAGAAGTGCTAGATGAACCAGGAAAACAACATCAAAGTGATGGATGTGACATAAATAAAATTAGGATACTGGATAATGTTTTGCCAAAAATATATGAGTACATGTGCTATTTATAATCTTTTAAACTTTTTTTAACAATCTTAACCTTGACTTCTTGAGCATGGCGTGGACGAGATAGTCAGCTTCAACGAAAACTCAACAAAAATCGAATCTCACAATGCTTTAAATTAAAACGCTTATAGTAGATTTGAATGGTTGGCTTCAACCTATTTTTTTTATAGTAATTATAACACTCCCTCTAATCCTTTATATTGAGTTAGAGATTAGATTTGATCATAAGATCTCAATTCACTCTGTCTCCTAAATTTATAATTCATTTTCTAAAGTTTTTTTTATTAATTACACATATTAAAGGATTTCATTCAATAGTAGTTATGATTAAAATGATTAACTAATATTTGCTATTAACAACTAATTTAATTAATTTTTTTAATTTATTTAAATTAGTTAAGTAACTCTTATTAAATACAAGAGATATTGCAATGTTATATCTCATCATAAGAGAGTAGAAATATTTTTCGAATTAAACAAAACTTGATGACCATGAAGGGTGCGGAATGAAGATGGGGTTGAATTTTCTAGCGAGAAGATTGAAGATTAATTATGATTATCACAGAAGATATGACTCTATCTACCCCGTGGCAGAACATAATATGTTACATCAAAATTTCTCCAAAATCAATTTAGTTTTTATATTTAAAATATAGAAGCAAGAAGAAACCCATCTTAGGTTCCTACTCTCATTTTAATAATAGTTAAGAATTCAAATAAATAAGATTTTTAATTTTAAAAATATTTAAAAATATAAACAATAAATTTTAATATTTTTATTTTGAGATTTTGTTTAGTTATTAATATTTTATACAGATCATTAAGATTTTTCTTCCTTCAAATGTCCAAAAAGCACTAACTTAATTCTTAGAAACGCACACCATGCAATCTCTTTGTGGGGGTAAAACAAAAAAAAAAAAAAACCACATACCATGCATGTAATCACACATATAGAACGCTATTCAGATAGTATGGTGCAGCAATCAAGAGACATTCCGAGTTTATATACCACTAGAGGGTAGAATTATTATGAGTTATGATCTTAATTATGACCTACTTAATTCTGGTTGATTTGCTTTTGATTTATTTTTTGGAAAAATAAATCTTTTAGTCTTTGTATTTTTGACTTAGTAACTAAATTTTTAAACTTTAACTTGGTATAATTCAGTTCTACAGTTTTGACTAGATTATAACCTAATCTTCTAACTGTTTTTTAGGTGATGTTTCATTTTCGTTTTTAGCTGATGACTCAGTCTTTTAACTTTGATTCAATGTAACTCAACCTTTATAGTTTTAATCATTTAAAACTCTAGTCTCTATATTAAAAAAATAAAATTATATATTTCATAAAATTTAGGGAGTAAAGTTTTAAATAGTTAAAACTACAAGACTGAGTTACATTAAATCAAACATACAAAATTGAACTATAGCTGAATAAAAAAAAATTGTTGGAACTGAGTTATACCGGGAACTTTTTCTATCCTTATTTGCTTCATTATTGTAAATGTATTTATTAAGATTTTTTTTTGGTTGATTCAAGAAAAAGATGCTTGAAATAGGATGAATTTGTATTTCACCGCAGATATTGAATTGAGTGGAGCGGGGATATTAAAAAAGTATTCTCTTTTCCTCTCTTTTCAACTCGTTTATATCTAATCTTTTTGTTTTTGGGCTCGGCTATGCCCACTTAGCCGAGCCATTCCTCTTTAGAAAATCAACTTAGCCAACCAAAACAAATAAAATTAAAAAAAAAATCCATCCTCCGAGAACTAAGTGAAAAAAATACAATCACCAAAAGATTCATTTTTACATATTCTCTTCTTATTTCTTAGGCTTTTGCCTCCTAGGTAGAAAAGAATAGGATTTTATTAATGATAAGGAAGCAGCGAAAAAACCTAACTTGACATTGCTTATCTTTTAGCATAATTCTCCAAATTAAAGAAAACGTCCACGGAGGCATGGAATTGTAGATATTTGATGGAAAAGTGGAGCAACATTAATGGTGTTAATGGCGGGCATAAAGAGACCTGAAAGTTCTGGGGAATTCGGATAGAGATGTGATATCATGAGAGAGCTGCGCTGGAATTGTTGAACCATACACACACAGAATCGTTTCATCTACGTAACATTTGCTGAGTTGAGCTGAGGCACGCGCCCCTTAGAATTTTAACCCAAAAATGACTCAAAACTTCACAATTAAGCATTACATATATATGGACGCCTTTGAAAATTATAACCTTAGGGGATAGAGATTGAAGGAGGACCACCGTCAGCCAAGAATATCTACTGCCTTCCCTTCTAATTCTTATTTTGTTTTGGGATTTTAATTTTTGCTCGTTTGCCAATCTAAATTTTCAAAACTGGTTAGGGGCTAACTAATTACCATAACTCTTATGATTGATCTCCCTGGGTTTTAATTCAAGCTTTTCAATAATTTGAGAATTGATAGGTGATTTGAAAATTAAATGAATTCGAGCTCTAGTTTTTTTAATGAAAAATTAAATATATATTATTAAACTACACACATGACACAGACACAGCCCCAAACCCCATAGTGTAACCATATCCGATTTTTATAATTCAGACATGTTAAGAGAGAAAAGAAAAAGCTTACGTTTGGTCTCTGGCAAACAAAAAAAAAAAAGCATTAAGCATGTTATTTGCATATAATATATGATATTTGTGATACTTTTTCTAAAATATCTTCCACTATTCACATTTAATGATTGATACTTTCATATATCAATCAGCAGGGGTAGTATAGGAAAAATATATGAATAAGACGGAAAAAAGAGATTACAATCTTATAGATAACACCTAATCAAACTTATAAAAAGAAAAAAAAGCTTCTACCGTTAGTATTAAAAGAAGCAAGTGATCAAAACAAACCTTTAGTAT